AATTCCTGACCTCTGCTAAATACCTGACCTAGCGTGACGGGTCAGAAATTTCGCGCGTACAGGCGCGAAATACATGACGCTTGCTAAATTCTAAGTCGGCTAAAACTGTTTTTTAGAGTTTAGATAAAATAATCATGATGTTAATTTCTAATACTTCGTTAAATATTTCAAATCGACATCGCTAAGTTTCAATCACAAACACTTTATAAAATTTCAAAGCGAATTGTGTGGTCGTGACCGCGAAATACACGATGTTTGCTAAATACGGTCCGTCGAAACGATTTTTAAGTCCATATGCGATGTTACCAAATGTTTCTAATATAGACATCGCTAAATCTAAACATGATCTAAACGGCCAACTCACGAACTCATTGTTGCTGCATACTAAATAGTGAGAAGGTCAAACGCGAAACGATTTTTAGTGCTTTAATATAGTATAGTAATGCATATAGCATAACCTTTGAAACTGCTGGAGTCTATTTTATATCACTAAGATAGATCGCTTTTCGAGTGATTTTTTCCATATCTGCGATTCAAGCTTTATTATCGCTGAACGCTAACGTTCACAGTCAGTGGTATAGTGTCAATTCAGTTGATCAATTGTAGAATTGATGTTGGAAAATTTATGTATAGATAAAATGACTTTATAAATACACGTGTTGTCTGTTGAATTGCGAAATTTATGAGCCAAAGTCATTCATGCGCATCGTCTGCGCATGGGCAGTTCTACAATAGTCAGATATTTCGCAAGTCAGGAATTTCGCGTCACACCGGCACGCGCATATATTTTGGCCGAATTTTGTTATTCCCTCACGGATTTCAGAGCGAATTTAAGCTCTTTGATTAAAGTATCGTTGTTTTGAGAGTTATACGGTATCATTCTTGCAGGGAATATCGATTAATCGTGAAAGAAATGCATTAAAGGCGAAAAATCGAAGATAGTTTCGTGTGACATATGCCAAGTCTGGGCTATTTTGGTCTCAATGTTTCCTTCCTTCCCTCGTTATAAGGAAGGCACAGGCGGGCGCGGGCAAATCGAGCCTGGGCCTCCTGTGATTTAACTACAGTGATTAACCCTAACTACAGTTAGCGCTAACTACGTTTTTATACAACCGGCCCCAGGATATTATATTGATCAGTAAATTAGAAGATCTGTTTTATCCGAAGGGTAAATTACAAATAAAATTAAAAAAGAAAAGTGCCCCATCAGTCCATACTTCCCGAGGGTACAATCGCAAGCTCGGGAAATGAGATTGCCGAGGGTATCGTTCAATTGAATTGCCACTAAAGAGTTAGCAGTGTTTAATTGAAAAAATAGAGGATGCGTAGCCAGGTTGAAACTTGAAACATAATTTATTTATTGAACGTTCTCTTGACTAAATTAGTCAGAGAACGTTCAATAAATAAATTAAGTTAGCAGTGTGTTTTGTGCTTTTTATCTAACTTAAAAAAATATAAAAATGTAACTTTACTACTTGTTTATGTCATATCAAATTTAAAAACACGATTAAAAACCTAAATTAAACTATTTTAAGTTCTAAAGTTTAAGTTTCACGCCAGGATACCAGCTATTTCGCCATTTTGTAGGTACCCGTCTACTTTCTGGTCCGCATTCATTTTAATTAACCAATCAGATCACGATCCATAAAAGCTCGTAATCTGATTAGCTAAATGAAGTGACCGTTAATTCCACCAAGCTTGGAAGAGTTTGGGTAATTGTCGAGCTCCCAGGCGCTGTAAAATAATGTGGCCCTGTAAAATAATGTGGCCCACAATACAAAAGTAACTGAGCCACGGCAAAATAAAATGAACTGCAACGGCAAAACAAAATAAACTCACGGGAAAATAAAGTTAACTCACGGCAAAACGAAATTAAGTCATGACAAAATAAAAAGTCATGGACAATGTAAAGTTAATTCATTATAACCATAGCCACAGGTATATCTATGAATATTATACCTCACAATGAGCTTGTCCAATCAGAGAACTAAATTTGTACCACATGACCATGGTATTTTTCAGCAAATACTATGACCTAGGCAATTTGAACCCTGGGTGTTTTACCCGGGGCCATGGTATTCGACTTCGAATACCACGCTTGAGCGGGAAATTCGACTTTTTTAAATGTACAGTTATCAAAAGTTGTGTTTTGAAATTAAAAGTTAATTGAATGGTATTTGTTTTCTACTTATTTTTGAAAGGTTCGGTATAATATACCATTTATAGACCTTTCACTCGGGGTATTCCACAAAAAATTACCCTGCGGGATGAAATATTCCTCGGGCTTCGCCCTCAGAATATTTCATCCCTCAGGGTAATTTTTTGTGGAATACCCCTCGTTTCAGGTCTATAACTGATAATAATAACTCGTGGTTGGAGATCCCGCACATTCCCGCCATTCTTGTAGCGCTGTGAAATTAGAGAACCTAGTGTTTGTTGAGAGTCAAAGGACATTTACCGAAATGTTTTTCTCATAATTTAATTAAATCTTTTCCAATTCCAGAATAACAATGCTTTTATTTGAAAACATTCTGTAGGTATTCCATATACAAATTGGTGATAACATATTACAAATACCATGGCATAACGGTTACATCTCCAAACATCAGATGTTGTTTTGAGTGACTAATTAATAACCTGTTTGATATTATAATCTGTGATAATATAATAACCTAGCTGTTTGATATTATAATCTGTGATAGAAATATTAACTGAAAAAAAGTGAAACCTTCCCACTTCAATTTGTTCTGGTAGCAGTTATGATAAAAATACGTTTTCTATGTTTGTTACATAATTATTTATGATGAAGAATGTATTTTTCATTAGATCATTGCATATTAATGAAATTTTATCGACATATTTTATAATTCTGTAACCACCACTGTAGGAAGAAATTGCAAAAGTGGAAGGTTCGTATATTTTGACTGTGACTGTTTTGCAAATTTGTATGTCTTGTAATATGTTAGAAATCCTTATATTAATTTGCACAAAAATCTACTTGTACGTTTTGTTTGCCGTATTCTTCTTCAGTGACAGCTCACTGAGAAGGAACCATTGTATTACATCTATCACAACCGGGAATTGACTTTGCATTGTCATATCTGCCTCAGATATCTGCCTTGTCACTTGATGTCATGTCATTGTCAGTTCTTTCAATTTGTAAAGGTTTGATTTGCCACACTGGATCAGGAGAGTTTATGTTTTGTTGTATAGTGGCATACAGTTGTGCAGTTTTCCTTTTGTGCGAAGCCATGTGTTCTTCTGGGTCGAGCGATAACCTCTGCAAATCAAAATAACAAAAATTGTTGAGGAAATGCATTTATTAATATTGTTCGCCCATCTGGGGATCAACAGTCGCAGATAAATTGAAAACATTCTCTATGCTCATGAAACTGTCATGTTTTCAACAGCCTGTTTAGCAGCTGGTTTTTGGGGGGAGGACTTGCGGGGAGCAAAATTAGGGTGGTAGAACAACAAACAGGTGGAAAGAACAGAATATTCCTGTCCACAAGTCCTCCCTAAAAAAACAGATGCTGCATAGGATACTTTTTCAAGGGCAATCTGATCGGCCAATCCTGTTCAACCAGCCAGGTGTTAAAAACAGCAAAACAAATTTTAAAATATCTTGTTTTTTCATAATTATTACTCACTTTCATCATTTGTTCTTTACTGGGAGTGAGAAGTTTCATCAACGCCCAGCCTGAGAATACTACACCTCCAACAACGGCGCTATTTACAACTGCCCTCAGTATTCTGGCAGCCGCCATCTTTGATCGCCCTGCACCCCCCGGGATATTAATTTACTGAGTGTAATATCAGGGGGTCCCAGACTCATTATATCACTTATAACCACAACGTCCTGTTGTCCTGTCTCCAAAGCACAGAGTCCAAAGCTTGAAAGTTGTGAAAATTTTGATTTAAGAAATGGCACTTAGCGAAGCGGAGTTAAAATCAAGCATACATGAACCAGATGTTTCAACAAAAGACTTTATTATGCAACAAACAATGTTGAGAATCAAAGATCCAAAAATTTCTCTTGACTTTTACACTCGTGTGCTTGGAATGAGGTAGAAATCAGTTTGCTTTAGCATTTTGAATGATTTTTAACTTTACATGTATGAGTATTGTACTAGTGGGTAGAAATCTGCAAAATTTTAAGTCGTTCATAAATTTCTGAAAATCTGCATTATCCACCCCCCCCCCCCCCAACCTACCCTAAGAAATGTGATACCCCTCCCTACCTCTGCTATCGTGCACTCCCTTACCCCAAGAAATGTTATATCCCAGTGTTTATTTTCTTCAGGCTTCTAGGAAAGTATGATTTCCCTGGAATGGAGTTTTCCTTGTACTTTGTTGGATACGAGAAAGCTGAAGACATCCCTGACGAGAAAGATGCAAGAACGAAATGGTGTTTTTCCAGAAGAGGGACTATTGAACTCACCCAGTATGTATGAAACATGCATTAATTAAGGCCTATACTGGGTAGAATATGGGAGATTTTCTGGTTGTCCCACAGTGTTAACCCAGTGAGTGCCGGCACTTTTCCTTGACGCTAATAAAATTGTCTGATGCAGGCTTAAAATATGAGCTTTCTGGACCCCTTTAAGAAACCACACAACCCCTGATATGCACATCTGTCTCTGCACCTATTGTTCACTTACTCATTGTGTCAAACCAACAAACCTTGATGTGCGTGTAGTTGACACAATCAAAGTAGTGATTATTTTGTATGTTTTGCAGCAATTGGGGAACAGAAAATGATGCAAACTTCAACTACCACAATGGCAACAGTGAGCCAAAAGGATTTGGTCAGTTCTGTTACAATGTATATACATTAGACTAATATTAGTGTCAGAAAACATATGGTATGACATTGCCTTAGATACGAACCCAACATACCGTTTCTTTCTAGGCCACATTGGCATAGAAGTACCTGATGTTGACAAAGCTTGTGAAAGATTTGAAAAGCTTGGAGTCAAGTTTGTGAAGAAACCAAATGATGGTACGAGTTTTTTCTTCATTGTACAAATGCATGTCGAAACCTTGCTAATTTTGGTGAAATTGTAATCAAACAACTACATTCTCACATCTCATGCCCTCACAGACGTAAAAGTTGCATGTGTTGGCCACACCCTGCCTTTTATTGCATGCTAACAAAAAATCTATTGTACAATTGTTTCCAGGAAAAATGAAAGGTTTGGCTTTTATTCAAGATCCGGATGGCTACTGGATTGAAGTATTAAATTCTGACAATCTCATTAAGATTACTAAATGAAGATAATTAAAATATGAAGGTATTGATTAGAAATTCTGAAATGTACAAGGTAGGACAAATAAATTTTATTATCTGAACCAGCTGTTTTAATGAAAGCAGCAAAATCAAAGTTCATTGTGATCTACTGGGCTCTGATTGTTACATACTTTAGAAAAATCACACTGTTTAGAGATATTTTCAAAACATGCTCTAAATTGATGAACTGGGCACAGCTCCTTGGCATTACAGCATGGTAAAGCAACTGGTACCTCATTGGCTAGGACTTGAACATATAATGAGTCAGGATTGTCTCCTGTGCATGAAAACAAAACTACTGCCACATTTCCTGCGAATGGTGCAATAATGGCTGTCTTAAACAAACGATTCTTGTGTTCCTCATAGTTATTTGCTAGAAGTGGTTCAGCGTCTTTGAATAACCCCATGAGGCACAGCAATGGTATGATAGTTTCTGCATGAGAGAAGTGGAAAATTGTTTTAGTGTGAGGATCTGATGTATTTAAAGATTGAATCACATTTTCTATTGATTCAGTCAAATTTCTGAGTAGTAAGCAACTCATTTCATAATTAATTCTGTACCCATAACCACGTTTCCAGTAATTTTTGATATCATAAAAATATTCAATAATGTCCAAATCTGAATCATCCAATACACTACACCATTGTCCTTCGCCATAAATAGCGAGTTCATATGCACATGATAAGAACATGTGCTGTATGTGAACTGTTGAAAAACTGGAGTGATCAGTGATGTTTAGTCTACGAGCAAGCACTTGCTTCAAATTATTCATTTCTGGACCTTCTTGAAACTTGTGAAATTCTGCTAAGGATATCCTTTTATTCTTAGAAACTTTCTGTTGATATTCTGAACATGTGTCAAAAAACCTCAGCACTGGTTCTGTTAAGTTGGTGGTTGTTATAGCAACAGGTTGAAATTTTGATGGTCCAAGGTTTCCTGTCCCTTCAAAAAGACCGAAAGCAAATGCTGATGCACTCTGGCTTGCCCGTGGTGTCATGGTACTCACAAAATAATGTTGTTCCCCAGAGTAGTTTGGTGTGAAAAGTGATTGAAATCTTTTGTGTATTCGTTTTGAGATATTATACAATTCCTCTGCGCCAACTTTTGCTAGAAACTTATCACCATATTTGAAACGGTTGACCCAAGGAAACTTCATATCTCCATAAATTGTACCTTTATCATGAAACTGGTTGATGTAATTGGCTAATTCAGACATGCCGTTGATATCTTTCTTTCCAGGGTAGCGGGTGCCATGTCGAAACACCATATTAAGATGTAGTGGGGTGCACCCAGGGGGAATATGAACTATGTCGTCATTATACACAGGATATCTTGATTTTGTGGCGAAGTTTCTACGTATATTACTACGTGGCTTGGCAAGAGATTGAACACAAAATAACACGAGGATAAATAATGCCATTGATTCCATAACAGAGTAAACTGACATCTTGAAATGCATTGTCTTTGATAGTTTGATGGAATAAAATATAGTTTAGTTTTGCTCCAAAAGGATACTTCAAGAGAGTTGATATATAGTCGCATAGATATCCAAAGTAAACTACACTGACTTTGAAACACAAACGCGCAGAAACATCGCATAAAATTCAAAGCAAACAAATTTTTACCTGCAAATATATTATTTTTATTTTGCATTTCCACGTGTTTTAGTCCACGCGTGTTCACCTGCGAGGGTAAACTTGGTTACACGCGAGGCGTCCACGAATTTATTTTTCAATGTAACGAGATTGGCAACTTTTCAATTTCTATAATTCTGCCAGTTAAATGAAGCGTTACTTCCTTGTTATTTTCTATATGTTCCTACTTTGCGCGTTAAATTCCAATTTTTACATTCTCTCTGTATGTATATGCCTCTATATTTTAGTTCCGCATGAACGAGCCAAATAATCTTGTCCAAACATGCATAGAATTTTCTGAGGGGAAAGCGTTAATCACTTTCCTATATTGTACTTTATTGTACACTGAATACACTGTTAGCTGATTTCTATGTTCCTGCCCTAACTTGTCTTGTAAGAAACCTTTTATCCTTTTCTTTGTCGGCGTAACTTAATTTTGTAAATTTTTGTTATTGATATTGTATAGTGCGGTGTTTTATTGTAAAATATCAAAGTAATTTCGTAGCGCTAACTATTCATTGAGTACAAAGTCGAAAACGAACGGAAGGAGATATCGGAAATGAGCTGCAACCATTTTGCAACACAACGCGCTGCGAAAGCGTTCATTCGATATTATATTTGATGAAGCCGGCGTTATTTAGTTTTTCATGTCGAGAAGAACGTCAGCTGGCCTTGAACCAATCCAGAGCGAGATGAAATCTTATGATTGAGAGTTTTGATGAATTGATTAAGGCGTTTATTGTCATCTAGGCGGGCTCTTATTGGCATAGTGCAAAACCTCTGTTTGTGAAAATCATCCCTCGAAATCTGCATATTATTACGAAGCATTTGATTTGAATGATTTCTCCCAATCAACTTTCTGATACAGACTGAACACAGGCGAAGCAAGAAGCCACAAACTTGCTGACGTATTTTTTGTTTATAATGCTCTCGGGAATGAGTTCTATTCCCATAAACCATGGCCGAAAACCGTTAGTAATAAATTGAACGATTGAATATCTGTCATATTAACGTACGTCAAACAAAGAGGAGGCGTCTTGTGAAAAAATACGGTTTGTCAGGATACTTGATTTTGCCGATGATTAACATCGGGAAGAGTGGAGAAAAGTTGTTATCGTTCTCAAGAAAGTAATGAAAGGTAAGAAATCTTATCTTTAGTTGAGAAATCACACACGATGACAGGGAAAGCTTGATCGAAATATTTCACCGGCTAGACAGACATGAAAAATTCATGCTCTTCCAACCGTTCATATATTGTTCCTTTCAACAATTTGGATTTTTTTTTCAATTTCTATTTTCTAATTTTCAATCCACGTGTTACTATTTTCATTGAGAAAATAAAAGATGTGATTTGTTTTCAAAGGAAAGCAAAACCAGCGGGGTTCAATGTATTTTTCAAAATACAAAATTTAAATATAAATGTATTTTTTAATTTTCATTTGACACCTTATAAGGGTAGATTTGATATTATTTTTGCGAATACTATATCAAAGCATTCTGACATGAGATTGTGAGATGACGTACTTTGTCTTTGGAATGTATTTTTATAAAACACTTGACAATATATAGCTTGTGTATAGTACACACACAGTTGTATATATTTTTTACTTTTTTTAACCCTTGACCTCGATATTATATTGCGGAAACGTTTCCAATATATACGAGACAAACTAAAACAATATATCACGGTTTTGATTTATGTAAATAATATAGCTAGCCGCGTTCGTCATATTTGCCAAGTGTTCTTTGTTGAAGCAAGTTTCGTCTCATTTCTATAGCTTATATCATTAAACCACGGGGCAGGTTTTTGTAAACAGCTTGTAATGTAGCTAGGAAAGTGAGTTCACATCATATGTGTTTATGGCAACTAGCTTGAAAACTAAAGCGTTGCAGCTTCTGTATAGACGAGTAAATTTATATCCTTCGAATCGTAAAGTTACGTATATATAGGGCAGACCACTGGGTTGACAAAATTATTTTTAAAACTGAGTGAATATTGCGATACGGACAACGGGACAAGTTCGATGAAAAGGATTTCAAATACATATGGAAGTGTTATTATTTAATTTTGGATTACATTGTAAATTTCAAGAATCAACTCTACCGAAAACGGTGAAGGAAAAACTGTTTTGATTTAACTCCTTGAAATTCAAGTGTATGCAATGATTCGTAGAAATCACCTCCCGATTCACTGCTTTATCAAATTGATTCTGTGTGACGACATTCGACGAGGCATTCGAGACAAAATATAATTCACTATAACATTTCCTACATTAACATCTGGTTTCATATTATGTACATGGTTTGTACATCTTACGGGTTCTAACGAATATTGCAACAAATTAAGAAGATTGCAACAAGCGAGATGTTCTGAACATCTCGTTACAAAGTTGTTACTCTCAACTTGGTTAAATGTTGTATGATTGTAACCAATAATGAGTATGGACCCCTACTCCCGAGTTAAGTTGAACGCTAATTATTTACATAATTATTCTGTTCTGAAATTTCTGGTTTGCCTCAATGACCACAAATCCTTTAAATTCCCACAGATAAACACAGATCTACATTGTGTATAATCCTCATTAGATTTAAAATCTAAAAATCATCTACCAATTTGGCAATTATTATTTGCATCTAATTGCATTTCGCGCGGCAAAATATCCTTGATTCTAATTGGCTATTCCCTGTTGTATCGATTAAATTGTTGTAAATTCATCGCATATTTTGGTATCAATGTAATTTAGTGCACACTCATTGATGCACTAAACTAAAATATCAGAAATCTAATTTTTATGTCATTTGTTACATTAGTAACTGGTAATGATGATAAACCTTGAACAATTATATATCCCCAAAATCTGATCGTATCGACGTGGGCATGCAGTGAAGATAAATAGTATTTGCATTTTTCCTTACTGTTCGAACCCCTAGTTCGAATGCTCATAAATATTAACATGCAGTCGATGTATGTTCTAACGATCAGTAATTTGCAACATTAGCTGTTATATGTTACATCTCATTAATAGTCGATCAGAGATAGTTATATATCAAATCATCACTGTTGCAGTTATACGAGGGATTGGAGAATGTGTTTTCTTGCTTGGCTGAGGTGATGAAAATTTGTCTGTGGAATTTCTCACTCGGCTAAGTTATATAACCATGACTAATCGTATTCAAGTGGAAATATAATTGTGTAATATTGAATTGCTGTCAATATGTCACATGAAAGAGGGTATATATAATGCCATAGCTCGAGTCAGAAGTAAGTATATACTGTACGGTGAAGACGAACACTCGTACAAATTCATTTATGTTTTGCACCGCGCTTCGCTTGTTAAACTTATTATTATTCAAATGTACTCGAAATACGCAGCATTTTATTGCTTACTAGAAAATCTTAGAATGTGTTTGATATGAATTGCAAGCGGAAAAAAGACAAAGTACTTTACAACTAGTCATGAAATTTACATATAAAAAGTTTATATATAGCTTATAAAACTATATAGCTTATACATCAATATACCAATATTCCTTGCACCGTATTGCTAATTCACAGGTATTGACTACGAGCTAACATTTCTACTGATTGTATTTCCTGTGAAAATTACAATTTAAATTTTGGAGACACGTAGACGTATTTTAGAGAAGCAGATGTTATAGACAATATATCGAGTTATCATTTCTCGCCTACACTGATTAGTGACTCTCGCCCACGACCTATGCCTGGTGTAGAGTGGTAAGTTTTCACATGACGTCAAACTAGCTGTATCGTTTATATTCAGCCATCGTTTTGTATCCTTCATTTCCGCTTACAAAATGGTGTCTAAATTAAGAACTTGTTTTGACTATTTGTCCATCGTTTTTGGTTTTGAATGCAACGCTATTTTATTACATTGTTTAATCTATCGAAAGTTCTTTTTGAACCAAAACATTTCAGCTACCGGCACTTAGTTTCAGGAAAATTTGTTGCCTAGCTATATTTGCACTGATTATAATAATTTGCATTGTTACCCGCTACTATACATAGTCATAGACATCAGGACGGCCTGGAGAATTTTCTTTTGTTTGGCCTGATTATTTTCCAGTAAGTATTATGAATTGAATGTTGTCCTGTTCTCTGGAGGAACAATTAAACTTTGTGAATGCGTATATAGCCATAGGAAAATCCCTTCGAGACAAAGTATTTTTAAGATTCCAATCCACTGATTTTACCGACAATATCTGCAGTTTAGAAATCGAGAAATACTTTGAACTCAGGATAATCTTCTACTCAGAACTGAGAAACACTACGTTTCTGATGAAAGTATATCATCGTTACTTATGAGAGTGTAAGTGCTTAATGCTGCTGAATGTGCATGACCCAGAACTCCTGAACATGTTGAACTTTTCAGATTTTATAATCACAAAGAGACTTGCAGTTTTTGAGTGATCAAATTACTATAGTTACCGTCTGTTAAATTGAAAGGCAACTGTATCACAGAGAAACCTTCATAGCTTCGGGTTTTACGACTTCAGTCAAGTGAATCCACAACAGCAGTCATCACAATGACATGAGTCTGTGCCTGTGGCGAAATTATCCACAAAAACATTGAAATCCTTCCTCCACTGTTCATAGAGGAAAGGAAAAGTGCTTATTTTATCTTTCTTTGTGAGAAAACGTTTGTTTCTTGTTGGTAAAGCTTTAACTTCGGTTTAGCGTTAATTGAAGATGAATAGATGTGTGTCACTTTCATAACAATTAGAGATATTCGATTGTCTGGATTAATAATTAAAATTTGATGGAACAATTGTAGCAATTATAGTATTGCAAATGTGAGAATATTTGATTCATACATGATTTCTCATTTAAATTTTGCACTCATTGATGGCTGTTTCTATTTTGCCTTTAACAAGTAAAGATTTTTGTTTGATAGTGTGAGGAATTTATTAAACTATTTTTATATTACAGGCCCTGCAATTGACATATATTTTCTTCTATGTTTTCAGTGGCGTTACTGGCTGGCTTGGCTGCGGGAATTCCGTTATGTTTCGTTGGCATTGTATGCGTGTTCTATCGCTTGTATTGCAAACGAGATCGCAGGAAAGATAACATCATCCTAGGACAAGGACGAAAACTTTGGAGGAAAAGTTACGAAGTGGTTGGCTCGTCACATGAAAGTCTTGCCATTCCAAAACATGCTCCAAAAGTCGTTTCAAAGTTTGTCCAAGATTCTCCACAGTTGAGTAGTACGTCAACATCCACTCACATCTCGGCACTTGAAGATCAACTTTGTCTGACTGAAGATGATGATGATGACGACAATTCGTCGCTTAGCAACTACAGAACCGCTCCTGACGAGGTTTACAGTCCCGAGTGTCCTTCGGTTGAGTCTCGGGACACAATCGAGCTGATATCGTTATCCCCCGTTAAAGCCTCGTATAGTGCGGAAAACCGATCTGACCATATCATTGACATCCCACTTCCACAAGAACCAAGAAAAATACCATCTATCAGAGTCATGGATGAAAATAAGGACGTCTTATTTAAGTTAGATGCTAAACCAAACTCTCTTCACAGCGAAAAACGTCGCGAAGATAAGATTCCTCTACATTTGCCATCCTCTGTGATCCAAAGGAATAGATATCACCCGTGTTCTAGTCCTGGCATGATTGATGTGTCAATACTGTATAAACAAACTACCTGTGAACTCTTTCTTAAGGTGAGGAAAGGCTTGCACAAACCAGGAAACATTGTTTCCTAGCCATGTTTCCCGAAGGTGGACAAACCAGGAAACATTGTTTCCTAGCCATGTTTCCCAAAGGTGGACAAACCAGGAAATATTGTTTCCTAGCCATGTTTCCCGAAGGTGGACAAACCAGGAAACATTATTTCCTAGCCATGTTTCCCGAAGGTGGACAAACCAGGAAATGTTGTTTCCTAGCCATTTTTCCCAAAGGTGGACAAACAGGAAATATTGTTTCCTTGTGGTACTTGGGGGCAACTGTTTCCCTTGGTCCCAGTCATTACGTATTAAATTTTATCGCCGCGGCATGCTATAGCGGAAACATCCAGATTTCCACAGCAAAGTTTCCGCTAGCTAGTTGTCCAGGGTTTAAACCTACTAAGTATTTTTAAGACTGATAATTCACTATATACTGCCATCCTTGACCTTGTATTTCATTTATTATTTTTATTATAATGTGAGTGAACTTTTATCTTTCCCAAGGTGAACAGAGCAATAGACTTGCCTGTGAAAGACTTAAGGAACAATACATCTTCTCCATTCGTCAAACTATACGTCCTTCCTTCACGTCGCTACAACTACGCTACAAATATAATCTCAAAATGTCTGAATCCTGCATTTGACGATAGTTTCGCTATCGGTGGTCTAACTCTGATGGAAATATTACAACTAACTATTCAATTTCTTGTTATTCATCATGAACCTATACACAGAAATATAATGATAGGAGAACTATTGTTACCACTTGTCAATTACGAGTTTGTCGATGAGGAACTCACTTTGTGTCAGCCATTGAGGGAATATAAACCACAGCCGGTGAGTAAAACCAGCAACAGTCAAATTTGGATTTTAACTTTAGATAATTCACATGTCTAGTTACTATTGTTCTAGTTTACAGAAGCATAGAAAAGAAGAAAGGTAACTAAGCTTTAGAGTTATATATAAAAGTCATTCACTCATGTGGATGATTCACTCGTCTAAAACTTAGTTACCTTTGTTCTCTTCAGTGCTTCTGTAAACTAGAACAATAGTAAAGCCCGTTCTCCACTAGGCGAATTTGTTCGTAAAAAGTAGGAATTGATCCAACTTTTTCGCGGCGAATTTTTTCGCTGACCAATCACATTGCCAAGATTTGGTTTTCGCTTGTGGTTAACGGGCCTTGTGGTTAACGGGCTTAACTAGGCATGTGAGCGATCTAAAGTTGAGAATTGGGTACATGTTTGTCTATAAGTTAACATGGTAGAGAACTGTCTCGATCTTTTGCATTAATTAATTTCATTAAAACTATCAAATCACTTTCAGGTTCTTGGAGAGCTGCTAGTGTCTGTGTGTCATCAGCCTCTGGCCAGTAAGCTGTCTGTGACAGTTGTACAAGCTCGAAATTTGCCCAAGATTAGCAACTATGGAATTGGAGGTAAGATTGTTCGATTCCTTTACTCTGAAGGCACCATAGTTCACATCCAAGTCATAGTCACGCTGAACCAGGTTATAGCTGGGTTTGGGACAGTTGATAGTGCTCACCTTCAGAATTTTAAATAAATAAATAAATAAATTGTTGACAAACTTATAGAATCAAGGAAATTAAACTACATCTCGCATTTATTTACCAGCGTCCAATATGAGTTGCTAGAATTCCTTCTTTGTAAAACTTTTTGGCAGATAATAAAATCTTAAACTTCGAAACACTTATTTACATTTTTTAGATCCCTATGTCAAAGTGGAATTATTTTTCAATTCAAAACGACTTTGCAAGAAGAAAACGCGAACAAAAAAGAAGACAACCAACCCCCGTTTCGTTCAGACGTTTACATTTGACCTGGAAGCTTCGTACATTGTCTTAGAGTCTTTGATCCTAGTCATGACGATACTAGTCAAGGATCCAGGGGGGTGTCACGAGAAAGTAGGACAAGTAGTACTTAGTTCTCTCACGGCTGGTTCTGCTTTTGCCCAGTGGAATGAAGTGATACAAAATCCGCACGTGCCTATTGAGAAATGGCAGATGATTCACGAGTGATCTTCACGTGCACAAAGTCGACGTTCTGCCCTTCCTGCCTGTGGTTTAAAGGCAAATTTGCGTCTTTTTAGGCCCGAGTTTCGCTGTCAAAGTTTTCGGTTTATTTTACCGTTGGGAACGAAATTGTCTATTCACATGTGAAACTGTCATGATTCTGACGAGGGTTTGAAGGAGCATTCGGACAATACGACTTAAAACTTTGCCAGTGTAAACTGCGGCTATCTTATGACATCATGTAGACAACGAGAAATAAAATATTGAAAATAAACTCCATTAAATAATGTCAATACGAATGATGAATTGTAACTATTTAAATTATTATTATTTTAGGATAGTTAAATTTAATTGCAAATTGAATGTATTATTTTAAATATATATTATGTTATTTACCGGCTGCGACGTTTTCAGACCTTTTCAAAAATTGAAAAGTTGAAAGACAAACTATAAACACGAATAAACTCGAGAAAACTGGCAAGAAACACACAAAAAGACATATAGTTTCAGTAAAAAGTACATGCTCTCTTTTCATGAATATGATCAGAGCAGAAAAGCACTGGAATGAAAAGTTGAGGCCTGGCGTTTCTGCTTTGACAAATTCAGTTGCTTCCGACAACGACAGGTTCTTATTCACTTGCTTTGCCGATCAAAAACACATATAAAGGAATCTGTTTGATTTATCAACGCTTTTCTACTAAAAGGACAATGAAAAAGTCTAAAAAGGTATGCTGTTTTTATATTTTTGTCGTTTCACGATCTTGAAAATATGTTTTTAAACACAGACTTTGATCCATAATTAATCCTGGAATATTTGCGCGAGAAATTCGAAAAATGCACAACAAGCGCGCGCAACACATCATTCGAATGCAACGGTCGTTTAATTGCGCCTTTTTCGCGCGTGCGCATGTTTGCTGATGTGACTAATTAAATGCGAAAATCTTTTTGTCTGGCAGATAGTTGATTTTGTGCAGACGTTTCGAAAAGAAAAGTAATCAAGAATCATGGCAATGTGTGAATTCGCGAAACCCTGGTACCGCAGTGATGTGATATTACGAGCTGAAGATCGGAAATTTCATGTCCATAAAAACACACTTGGCTTATGGTCTCCGGTTTTTGATAGTTTGATTAAAGCGCGGAAAACAGCGAATGAAATCATCGAATTACCAAAGAAGAAAGCAAAAGAAATTTACGAACTGTTACTGGTAATCTACAATCTTCAAACTGTCAATTCTCAGAACATTATATCTTTCTTAAAACTGGCCAAAGAGTTTGAAATTGAGAAAGTTCTCTACTTGTGTAGTTCATTTTTACTTGAGATCGAGAAACCAGACCTGAAGTGCATCAATTTCCTTCTCTTGGCTGAGCGCTATGGTTTGGAAGACGTGAAACAACAATGTTTTGAAATAGCTGCCTCGTTTTCTCTCAGTCATCTTAAAACTTCAGAGAAATTTGAAGAACTTAGCATGGAAAGTAAATTTCACATTACGGAGATTATGCTAATGCAGGAGCAAGCATTTGTTGAAGATTTAAAGAAAAAGTCATTTAAATTGTTACAAACTGTTTACTTAACCGGTCATGAAAAGTTTGTAACAGATATGCAACCGACTGTCCGTCGGCCCTTCGTGTACAGCTGTCGTAAGAGACCCGCGCATTCTGCGCTGAAAGAGAACGGGCGTGTTTTACCACGCGTGTATGACTTAGAGTGTTCTGTTTGCCGCGCAACTACGGAGAATTGGGCACGAAGAAAGGAACAACATTACCCAATGAATAAAGAATTGTATGATGCAACGCTTATGAAAGAAATGTTTACTTTGTGTCATGGGCAGAAGGACAATAAAATGACATCCTAATTCCTTTATATGTGACTATAGCTTGCTGTTGTATGTATATAGTAAGTTTAGTATAATTCAATTTAGTCTAACTTTTGTATATAGTAAATATTAGAAAGAAAACTGATGTATAAAATTTCAATAAATTTTCCAATACCATAAGTAGTTTTCACAGGTAGTTAG